ATAAGGATGTTGTTACTAATCACCCTTTATCCCATCATATAATGCAATCTGAGTGCCCAGCCAGTCATAGTGATGCCCAAACCCATAGCTGACATTATCAACTATATACACACATACTCATTCCCATAATACACCCGCCTATACAACCAATATATTCTCAAAGGCTGAACACTAGAGAACACCCATTCAATGTTAGCACTGCTAATTAAATTCCATTGACTGGCAGCGCTGGAGAAATCGCTCACTTCATTCAATCATCGGACTAATGTAGGTAATGTAGTAATCAGTGGAGTCATGGGGAATAGTGAATAAGGGTATAGTGGCCGATATCGCTTGAAGAGTAAATCACACTAACCTGAAAGTGATGTTTAGCTTCTTGCATGCACACACATGAAACCTTAATGTTTCACCAGCAGCAAGGGTTGGGTATCGTTTGGGTTTTTTCGATACTGGTGCTAAATCTATACTTTTAAAAAGATACTGGTGCCAAAATGCTGCCTCAACCAATTTTTCACAGTGATTCCTTAAAAATTAATTATTCTGGAGTCATAATAAGTCATATGTCTTATTGTTTATTTCGTGAATAAAAGCAGTTTTAAATTTAAATAAAAATAAGGTCAGTATTATTAGCCTCATTAAGAAATATTTACTGTGTATTTTTGATTTACACAACAAATACAAAAGAATTTGACTAATTATTTCAACTTTAGTAGTTAACTGATTAAGTCTTTAAATTATACTTTAATCTGAAAAAAAGACTATGAAATACTTAAAGGGACTTTGTCTGAATTAAACTGTCTTGCAAAGTAACTAGTAAAATGGTATGCACTGACTGTCACTATGGGGTAGATAAAAAAGTAGTATTAGAAATTAGTTAAACTTATGTTTAAAAATGTGTTGTAAATAAATCATGCGTTGAAGACGAAAATCAAAAATGAATGAAGGCGTGTCTGAAAACAACATTTGATCAATCTGTTACATCTGTTCTTTGGTACTTGCCGACTGTAAATTCAAGACTGCATTTCCTAACGTAAAACTATGTACACTTGATTTCTGATTAATAAATGCCTCTGCATAGCTGAAGACTTGCTATATTAAAAGTGTTAAAATGCTATTGAAAACAGAAGTCTAATTTCATCAACAGTGGACATTTTGATAGTGTTTCACAACATGAACATGACTGAAGTTTAATCTTTTTATTACCTGTGTCAATTTGGACGTCAACTTTTGACGAATGCAGAGAACTGATGCGCACAGCACCGTCACAGAGAGAGCAAGTATGATCCCGAGGGAGCGATTGCACGTGACACCTAGAGCATGCGAGAGAGGCATTCCTTTGCCTTTTTGAGCCCTCAAATGTGTCATTAAGTTTGACATGTTTCCCCCTCACACGCAACTTTTGTAAAGCACGTTGCTGTGCCAGAATCCTTGCTTGTAAAATATGCTTTAGAATGCGATCATGCGTGTTGATATAAAGAGTGTCGCTCTTGATCACCAAAAACCAGGCTGAATGCGCTGTACTGCGCGCGTTGCGTGCGTCCGTTCCCTAAGCGACAATAACAATCGCCCGACATCACCTGTCCATATTCCTCAAAGTTTTTTAGAATTAAATGTTTAAACATGGTGTGACACAACGCTTATGTGTGCCTTTGATGCACCCCTTTGATGCTTCTTACGTTCTCATTGCAGCACCAGTGGCACCAAAACTCAATTGTTGATTTGATCTGGTACATACCGGTTACAAAGGTACCTGTGCTATAATAGCACCGGGTTTCGCTACCCAACCCTAAGCAGCACAAGTATTTACTTTTTTTTTTCTCTTCTACATTTTTTCATTTCTGGGTTTCTGGGTCATCATAGCTATAGCGCAATGAATGAAAGAATACAACAAATAATGTTTGTACAATCTTATTTGCTAAAATAATAAAAGAAAAATTCCACGATGATCTATTAAGACTTTCATAAAAAGGAAAAAAATAATATGTGAGACGGATGAATATTGTGTCATAACAGGCTTGTTAAAAGGGTCTATTCGCTAAAAAGGATGGTTGCCATTGATTTAAGTTGCATGCATGAGACAAAACATCCCATTTTGGTTTCCACATCAAATGAAATCGATAAAACTGACTTTATATGCAAATAGAAGGCATGTTAAATGCAAGTAAACTGTATAATTTAACGTTTAACCTTTTATTTTCACTTCTGTAAAAATAAATGGTTAAAATATTGGTAATTAGGGATGTCCAGATCTGATCACGTGATCGGAAATCGTGGCCCGATCACACAGTTTCAAACTCAATCGGAATCAGACGTTACCTCCTGATCAGGACTCAAATATATATATGTATATATAAAGCTGAGTGCCTTAGTGTCCCACCAGTCACGATATACAGCCACATCGCACTGCTACTAGTGTGATATTGTGTTTACACAACAGTTTGACGGCATAATTGCGTATATAAAAAAGAAAATCAAACACAAAGAGTCTAAAAACCCTTTTGTATGAACCTCCTCTATCTATCTATCTATCTATCTATCTGTCTGTCTGTCTGTCTGTCTGTCTGTCTGTCTGTCTGTCTGTCTGTCTGTCTGTCTGTCTGTCTGTCTGTCTGTATTACTTTTGTGTTTGCGATAAGAAAAAACGCTAAACATACGTAGGCATTTCTTCTTTGCAAACATTAACTGAACTCTTCTTCTTCTTCTTTGGCCTTAGTCTCGTATGGTTGTGGGGTCGGCTCTTGTAGACTTGTCCATATGATAACAACTTTTTTACACATTCCGGCCGACCTTTCATCTGGGCCTGTCACCCTCAACACACATACACGCATAAACTATGGACAATTTAGCCTACCCAATTCACCTGTAGCATGTCTTTGGACTGTGGGGGAAACCGGAGCACCCGGAGGAAACCACGCAAATGCAGGGAGAACATGCAAACTCCTCACAGAAATAACAACTGAGCCGAGGTTCGAACCAGCGACCTTCTTGCTGTGAGGTAACAGCACTACCTACTTCGCCACTGCTTCGCCCCAAACGTTAACAGAACTAGTCTGCAGTAATATGTGATTGCCATCTCACACTCAACACACTACAATTACTATGGTATAAATACAGCACTACAAAATACAAAAAAGAGAGATTAACTTAGAAAATCACTTACCAGTTTAATAATGATTTGATCAGCTGTAGTTTAAAATTACGCTGGGTTTTTCCTCATCTAAGGGCTTATTATGCGGTCTTTGTCACCATCATTCCGAAATTATAAATATTTAAAATAGGCACTATCTTTATAAATACACTGCATAGTTGACTACAAACTATAGTCAACTACAATTTTCGGCAAAAAAAGCCTCAAAAGTACATTATGTTGTCCAACAGCTCCAATATTTGTCAAATTGTAGTGAGTTTATTAATCTGCTGTCGCACTATTTGGGTGGCGTAATACAGAAGGGTGAGGAGGCTGTAGGAGTTCTGATATTGCAGAATATTGCACTGCTATCAGCCAATCAAATTCTGGAACCAGACAGAACTGTTGTATAGATATTCTTATTTAATTTTTAAAACACATTTATAGATAATAAATATACAGTAGCACAGAGTTAAACCCAAAGTGTGTGGCATGACATCACTTTGTTGCAGAGACGCTATTGGTTAAATGCCGCCAAAGTAGAACACGAAAGCAGCTTGAGGCGGAGAGTGCAAGTATGTCTGCGATCTGGATGTATTATAAAGTTGATGATGACAACATTGCCATAGCAAACTGAGAGATATAAAACTTGGGATTGCCTGCCGGGTATTTAAAGTTGAGGTGCTACTTGTTTTTAGATTAGATTTTTTTGTTTTAATATTTGCTGTTGCATCAAAGTCCAAAAGTGAAGAATTTATGATATTTAGTTCTTGATTTTTCAAGCTACCTCACATAAGTGCTCTGTTTGTTTAAAATAAGGTGAATTAAATAAAAATAAGGAACATACCGGATCTGTTTCTTTGCTCTTCTTTATTCTTTTCTTATGTATTACAGAAGTATGGGATCGGGTTTCGATATTGGTAAATACTCAAAATCAAATGACTTGGAGGCATAAAAACCTGATCAAGACATCCCATTGGTACTAAAATCTTCATTGAGCATAATATACTTATGTAAACATTAAACAACTGCACAATTGCAGCCTTGTACTTATAAAATAAAATATTAAACAAAAATCGATATTTGTGTAATTAATTTTAATATTAACAATAAAATTAAGCCAAATACATGATACATGATGAAGCTTGAAAACACCTGTCTTTGATCCCATATATGAATTTAATGTTACATATATTCACCACTTAAAAAGTCATGTTATAACCCCTATGGTAAACAATGAATGGGAAAAAAGTGGGCGTGTACTATTAAACTCAACATATCAAAACATTGATTGACAGCTGTCAGCAAGACACTATACCATCAAGAAAGAAAGAAAGAAAAAAAAAGAAAGAAAGAAAGAAAGCACAATGGTACTAACAGACAGGTTATATCATGCATTGCATCACCAGTAACATGGTAATACCATACCTACATCACAGAGCCATATTACGCTAGTAAAGGTAAATCTACACCAGTTATGGGCATCATAGACACGTTTATGCGTTCCATTCATTCCGTTAGTGTCCAAAAATGCTGTCTAGTTAGGTACTGCACTAGAATTCGAAAGAGATATGCAACCAGAGCTGCACGGAGTCATGTACAGGCATTAAGAATCAATGCCTTATTCTCAGACATATTTAATCTATCATTTTGTATAGTAAAGGTGGTTTTACATGTAAAGGACATGGAATACGTTCTGGACGTTAGATAAGAAACCTAATGTTTAACGCACTGTCTAAAATAGAAGCGACAGGTTTTGCATAAAGTCAGCTAGTCAACTGCTCTAAGTAAATATGTGCTACTGATAACAACACCACATTCAAAGTTTAATATTTAAAGATATATATCGATAGTATATGCGCAGACTACTTACACACTTCTAAGCAGCTGTGAAACTCCTGTGCATCAGTTTTCGGTCTGCCTGTGCTGGACTTTTCAGCCCATCTCCCACAAACTTCCGACGGTTTGCCTATCCCGCAACTGACGGGTGGAGAGCGGAATTGCAAATTCTACTATGGCCAAGGTTTGGCTCATGAATATTGATTAGTTCATGCTACGTCACTGGATAAACCTTCCTCAGCGTCCAGTCACGTTTCTTTATTAATAAAAATGAGCCAAACCTTCGCTGCGTTTGGCTTTGACAGTTCTGCTGTTGAGAAACACCCAGTTTCTATGTCTTCGTTCAGCCAATCAAGTGGCGTATCTCAAGGCATCAAATTATTATTCATGAGCCAAGTCTTCGCCAGAGTAGAGGTCTATGGAATTTATAAACCAGCGAACGAAGGCGGAAAAGGCCCCTTCCGGATATAGAAAACAGGACGATGGGAATTGTAGTACTATAACAATGATGTTCAGCTTCAAAACGTGCAAGTTGCTTTTAATTTATTGATCCACATTCTTTCATTTAGAAAGTTTAATTACCGTCTATAATATGATTATTTCGCCAAATTGTTTATTATATAATACACAAAAATGTTTTGTTTATGTCTTTCAGTGCCCTGTGTGACTAAAGAGACGGTGCTAAAGAAGGAAACAGTGCTGTATTTTTGGAAATTCCCTCGCCTGGTCTGTTTTTAAGTGTCTTATTGTTCAGGTGCACGTTTCAGATTTGAGAAAAGGTTATTGGAGGTTGAAATGACCTGATTATATATATATATATATATATATATATATATATATATATATATATATATATATATATATATATATATATATATATATATATATATATATATATATATATACATACATACATATATTCGAAAGAGTTTGAACTTGAAATAACTTTGATTTTTGTTCAGGTGCACGTTTCAGATTTGAGAAAAGGTTATTGGAGGTTGAAATGACCTGATTATATATATATATATATATATATATATATATATATATATATATATATATATATATATATATATATATACATACATATATTCGAAAGAGTTTGAACTTGAAATAACTTTGATTTTTAAAAAGGTTCTGAAAGAATCCCATTAATCAAAATAGTATGAATACATTAAATCAGCTTTACTCTCACAGAAATTATTAATGTTTATAGATAAGATTTTAAACCATTTTAACGTTATATTTATTATTATTATTTTTTAATTTTATAATTTTTTATTAACATAAGTAACAGGGAATACATAAAACATGAATTTATGCTAATATTGTATGATCTGAATACAAATTATACACATTCATTGTACATTTAGTAGCACAAATGATACAAGGAATAAGGAAAAAAACAATACATGAAAGAAAAACAAATATTTAAAGAAAACAAAAATATATATAGAAATATATATCAAAGGAAATAAAACAAATATCTCAAACTATACTTAGATTATTAGGAATGTTACATAGGCGTAGCAAAAGGGATCTGATAACTTAAAGGTAATAATTATAATTATATTATTTTATTCAGCAGTTCAGTTGTTTTAGCGGCTTCCTTACTTTTCGATAGGCAGACAGATTCAAAATAAAGTTTCAAGTCAGTAGAAAATGTTCTAAAACTAGGCAAACACTGAATAACTCTATATTTGTGAAGATGGAAAAGGCCACAAAGAGTTACAATTTTTAACATATTGTCCATTTCCTTACAATCTGACTCCCAAATCAACAACAATAAATTAATTGTCTTAAAATTTAAAAGTTTTTTGTAAGTTGAGAAGAAAAGCCAAGATATTTTTGTCCAAAATTTTTCTATAAAATTGCATTCTAAAAATAAATGCGCTATTGTTTCCAGCTTAGATTTACAGAATGTGCATTGCGAAGAATACTACATTTAGACAGCTAAGAATTACAGGGATAGTAATTATGAAGGATTTTTAAATAAAGTTCTGTCATCTCATTAGGCACTTATTAATACCAGGCCAAATTTTAATGGTAAACAGAACCGGGTAATTTAATTTCCATTCATAAAAAGCTTTCAGGTACAAGCTAAACTTATTAACAAAATTTCTTCTAATGTACCAATTATTACAATTAATATCAGTGATTTCCTCCTCTTCAATAGCTAATTTAGGCATTTCACATTTTATGTCTGTTTAAGCACAGGTTCTAGTCAGATGTAATGGTTTTGGAGAAATAGATTTTATTACACAATCATATACTCTGGGCGAAATATCCCTTCTGTAAATAGCAGAAAACTCAAAGTAAGACTAAATGTTTCCGTTCTTTTTTAATAAATCTAAAATAAAAAACAAACAAACAAACAAAAAAACACCTCATAAAAAACTATAATGCCGGTTTCACAACGCATGAGTGGCATGGCTATTTTTTTGGCGTGCATGTTCACAACCAGACCAGGAGCAGAGCAGCGCCTCTCAGCGAGTTTGTTTTTTTATCTGCTCAGTTTGCTTTTTGATTAAACTACATTGCTTTCATCAGCGTTGGTTCGGTTGCACATAGAGAAAAACATCTTTATTCAGGGATCTTAAGAAATACACTTGCATATAAAGTAAATCGTATCTGAAAGCATTTACTGGGGCACCGGCGATTTTTACTGGGACACGTGCCTCTGATATATATAGTCAAAATTTATATCCCTCCTGAATTATTAGCTCCCTTTGTAAAGTATTTTCCCTAATTTAGGATATTGACAACACAAAAAAAAATTGCAACATCCCAACAACCAAATATTTTTTTAACATATATTGTTTTAGCACAAGCCTCTTGGTTTAATTTTGGAGACCGCCACTCAGAGATCATCCTCATTGTTCTGTTGTGGTCTGTGTTTATTTTTACTGTATTTGGTTGCATAAAGGTGTCATAAAGTTTAACCTGGTGCTATAAAATCCATTTGCTGTGTTGTTAATCTAATGGTTGGTGGCTTTTTATTTGCATCTTTGTGTAACTATATTAACTGCTATTTTTTATCTTTTGTGGGTTATGGATAAAATATAGTAATACTAATAGTTTAATCAAATTTATTTGACTTTTGGAAATCACCAAGCGTCCCCCTGTCATTGTCTCCCAACCCCCCAGGGGGTTCCAACCCCCACTTTGGGAACCACTGCTGTAGACAATCGAAAAAAATTATTGATCAAGGGTGCTAATGTTTAGTTTTTTTGTATAAAAACTGCTTTTATTCTAGCCTAAATGATACAAATAAGACTTTCTCCAGAAGATAAAATATTACAGGAAGTAATGTAAAAAAAAAACCTTGCTCTGTTAAACATCATTTGGGAAATATTTGAAAGAAAAAGAAAAAATCATAGGAAAGTTCATAAGAGAGCTAATAATTTTGACTTCAACTGTGTTCACTATCTATCTAATTCCTAAACCTTGGTGACAAATCTATAAAAAAAAAAAAACCTATTTGTTTCTGTAATTTATGCATTTATTTTATCGTTCTCGCAGTCACTTTCCATTGAAAATATGGGTCATGGGAAGTCATCGGTGGGTCAAAGCAGCAGACAGACTTTATTTAAAGCATGCAGCAGGTCAGCGGGTCAGGCAGTAGTCTGTGAACGGCGTTTGTATATCCGCACCGCACTGCTGAGCCTTTTCCAACTTGTATTGTGATCGGGATAGCTTTGCTTCCTCAGTGGCAGTTTGCCCATGTGAAAACACAGAGCGCACCACGCAAAACATGCTTCCTCTTCCCTCAATTCGCAGCCCCTGAAAACAATAGCAATGCAGACCATTTCAAGACGAGGGAAACTATTTTGAGGTTGCGTGAGCCAAATGACGACAGCCCACAGAGCTGACGTGGGCTGACCTGAGAAACCAGCTTTAAAGACAACAGCTACTGGTGCGATGAAGCCTAATTATATGTACATTGAATTTGTGTACATACAGTTCAAAATTAGAGAACAATTTATGAACACTTGATTTTCTTTTAGAAATGTTGCAATATTCACCATTCGAAATTTGAAGAAAATAAAACCTAATAAATAACCTAGAAACTTCAACAACAAAAAGGATAAATCTTTTATTTTATATAAACCACAGTGATTGAAAATAATAAAGAGCAATGAAAAAGTTAGAACACAGAGCATCACAAATCTTTTAAAGATAATCATTAGTCTCGCACAGCACATGACTAGTCTCTCACAGACATCATTAGTCTCACACAGCATATCACTAGTCTCTTAAAGAGATCACTACTAGCCTTTACAGGTCATCACTGGTCTCTCCCAGTACATTGCTATTCTCTCACAGGACATGGCTAGTTTCTCAGGACATTACTAGTCTTTCCCAGGACACCATCACTGGACATCTCTCTCACACTGCTCTGCTGTGATCTTGATTTTCTTTTCTCTAGACTCTTCTGCAGTTCATTGATTCTAAGCCATACCTTTTGTCACCAATGACTTTCCAGGGATTTTTAGTCAGGTTTAGATTAGGACTCTGGACTGGCCATTTTTTTATTTAAATGTTTTTTAGCTTTAAACAATGACAGATCCTCCTTCAGCTTCCCAGACTACACACTTTTGGGTTCAGTCTTTTCCTTTTCCTGTTTCAGAGTTTGTTTCAATCGAGCCGAGACCACCTCATTTAAGCAATCTCGGAGCTATTGTTTTGGCGGGGATCCGAGTGCAATTGGTGGATTCACATATGCCAAATTAAACACGCTAACTGGGCAAACGAGACAGGTTCCGAAACAAAAGTCTAAGTTAAAAGCACCCTTAAACTACAGCGGTAGACTGTAAAAAAAACAGTAGATTTCTGGCAACCACAGCTGCCAATAGTTTACCATAAAATCGAGGAAAAAACTGTATCTTTCTTTAAAACCTGAAGCAAATTTCTTCTGTGTCACCATTGTTGAGGAGAGTAGAGCCAGTATTTATGTCAAAGATAAACAATGAACTGCTGATGTTATTCTGCATGTTTCTTTATATAAAGACAGTGGCTGTTAAGTTGCTGATGCAGTCAGAATCTCTCTGGTAATTCCAGCTTTACATGTATGTGTGCTGCTGTGAAATTTAGGACATTTGGGTTAAACCAAGGGCGTAGAATTGGCATGGACAAAGGGGATGTTTCCCCATCAATACCCACTGATTATTGAAATGTCCCAACCAATAATTTTCAAAGTA